ATCTGGGTGCTCTTCTCCAAGAAGTCTGTTTCTCATATCTAGAACTTTGATTCCAAGCTTCTCTGCATCTGCATATTTTCCTAGACTCCTATATGTATTTGCAAGATTATTCATGGCCCAGATTGTATCTGGGTGCTCTTCTCCAAGAAGTCTGTTTCTCATATCTAGAACTTTGATTTCAAACTTCTCTGCATCTGCATATTTTCCTAGACTCCTATATGTATCTGCAAGATTACCCATGGCCTGGATTGTATCTGGGTGCTCTTCTCCAAGAAGTCTGTTTCTCATATCTAGAACTTTGATTCCAAGCTTCTCTGCATCTGCATATTTTCCTAGACTTCTATATGTATCTGCAAGATTACTCATGGCCCAGATTGTATCTGGGTGATCTTCTCCAAGAAGTCTGTATCTTGAATCCAGCACTTGAATTTGAAATTTCTCTGCCTCACTGTAATACCCCTGCTCCCTCAACATTTCCCCAAATTTTTTATGAGCATCATCAAAGTAAATATCAACCATTTTCTTCTTTGTCATCACACTATGCTGTATATTGGCCCTCAAATGAGTGACCAAAATCCTTCTGAACTGATATGGCTGCTCATTGAAGTTTTCTTGAAGAGAGCAAGCTAACATCCCATATGCCATCAAATAGTATTTCTCTCTATCTTCTGAGGACATTCTGTCTCTTCCCCATGCATGAATGAGTGGGTGCATGGTATAGATGCCTTTGGATGAGGCCAGTTTGATCAGGCTAAAGGACAGTAATACTCGGACTCCCTCTTTGAAGATGTAATCATCCCATTTTCCTGTTTTGTGAAGCTGAAGCAGTGTGCGGTCTATTATGGAGGTTGCAAGAGGCAAGGCTGACCCCTGCTCATTATCTCCACATTCCTGAGTAGCAGCATAAGAAAAGATTTCTTCTGTAATACCATCAAAGTGAAAGAAGGCAAACATTGCCAGCAGAAACATTGCACTCTTAGCTGCCTCAGCTTCTTGAGAATCATCATTTTTAGCTCTTGCCTGAATTTCTTTAAATGATAGCTCCCAAGTCCCATACACAGTTCTGTTGTACTTAGATGCCCCTTTGAAAGCTGGGTAAGATAATAATCTTTCTCTGTTTTGAGAATATTCATCAAGATAGTCTCTTATGTCTCTGCCCCCAAAAGCAATGAAAGCACCAGCCTGATCAATAGCCAGAGGAATGCAAAAGAGCTCATTCACAATCTTGGAAGCCTCAGCTTGTAAGTTTTCCTGAGACTCACTCAAGCAAGCAGCCTTTAAGAGTAAAGAGATAGCATCATTTTCTTCCATCTCTTTCACCTCAAGAGAATTCTCATGTAAAGTCAGATGTTTTAGACCAGAATTGCGACTAGTTATCAGAATATTCCCTCCTAGCCCAGATGGAAAATATTGCTCAAGTTCCTCAGGTGTCAGATTATCAGCATTATCAAAGACCATTGCATAGTTCCCTCTCAGAGAGCTAATCCACCATAAAGCAGATTGAGGTGAACCATCCAGAGCAGAAGACTGAGCCTCAGGAAGGTTGCAGATTCCCTTCAGTGCCTGGGTGATTGTACCAACTGAAGATGCATCAATCCAGAAAACATGGGAAAAGCTTGGGACCATTCAGAAACAGGTACTAAGTAATATGGTGGAGTACTTACTAGTCAGACATATCTTCAATGAACCTCAAACAAATCTGAGTCTTCCCAATACCCCCCATGCCATACAACAAAAAGAATTTTCGACGGCGGAGTTTATTGTTGCTTTCAGCAGTAAAATGTTCCTTCAATTTTGCGAGAACGTTGGTGCGTCCTGTGAACCGAATACTTGAGTTTGGTTTTACGGGAATCACTGCATCAGATCTCGTTCTGTTGCCGGCGCTAGTGTAGTAATTGATCTGTTTAAAATACCGATTGATGAGCTTGCAATAGAAGCTTTAGAAAACTTTACTAACAGTATCGGCGACGTTTATGTTGCTATCAGTTATAGCAACGTTCTGAGCGTTCTGGAGGACATTTAATTGGCTCATGTTGGAAGCGTAGCAGATGGGGGCGAAGGAAAGAAGTGAGAACGAGGGGGTGCAACAGCCGCCACTGCCCATGAGGCATCATTCGCGTTTTGCCGGGGCATACAAGCGTTCAGCTCAAAATTCTGTCACCTGTCCTGTGGGCGCTCGGAACCCGGTTCAGAGAAGCGTACCTACCATACTCGAGAGATGAACGTTGAACTGCGACGTCGACCCGTATCGTCGTTTTGCGCGTGGACTACCGATATCCTTCCCCTCAGAACAGTTCCTCTGCAACAGACACATCTCCTCAATGAACCTATTAGCTACTTTCGCGGACGCGCAAATACGATGCCAAAAGCCTAAAACAACTTTTGAAGTCGAGGAGGTGATATTCTTCTCTACATCTTTATAACTTGGATCCGTTTTGCTCACTTCTCATTTCGTAGAATTTGCGTAGTCAATAATGTTCGTATGTATCTTTGGTTTGATTTTTTGTGCGTGATCCCTCCTGACAGTGTATACAGTTAGGCGCAATATTCATCCTTGGGAAAGCTAGTGAGGTATCGACGGGCGCAGATGATCGGAGAACAACGACATCAAGCGGCAGTTAGCAGCACAGCGGCAGGACCAACTCAATCTCACCTAACGTCTGCGGCTCTTTCGCTATCTTCGAATTTCAACGCCTCGATGGACTAGGCGGGTAGATATTAGGAACTATGGATCAACGCGATGGCGGGAGCTTGAGCCACAAACCTGATGTAGATTCGCGCAACGGGTGTGGTGGAAGCTTACACCACCAGCAAGACGACCGGGACTCGCACCAGACCAAACTACACAGCGCACCTTCACGTCGGTGGCGCCATAGTCGATCTCTAAACCAACAGCGAGACAAGGCCGCTCAAGATCAAGTCAAAGCTGAATGCGCTACTCCTTCATTGGTGTGGCCGGCCTAATTCGATCGTCGTAACTGGAGGGTCCGGTAAGGTTTTGAGTGTTTGGGATGTTGAGATTGGGTGAGCTTTTCTGTTTATTACTTGATAGGCGAGTTGCAGAGTTGGGTTGCCTCCGCAAAGCGGGTAGAATGTTGTGGTGTCTTTCCAACCCCCCTCTTCTCTCCACCCCTCTTCGCTTTCAATCCTCTTCCTCTTCCATCCCCGCCTCCTCCCCTCAGCTTCCCTCCCCCCTGTCTACTTTCAACCTGCTTCTATACAATTCTCTACTCCATGTCGCTAACGCCAGTTCCCCGCAACTTCCCCCAGCTGATGCATATACACTACCACCGTCACACTTCCACCATCTGCTGCCCCGATCGGGTCTCGGGGCGCGACTCTACAGGCATGTGACATACAAGTTTGCAATTCGAGCCTAGCAGGTGCTCAGTACTCCACTCAGTCTTCAAGCCTGTTCTTTCAAGAATGAGGTCGAGGATGAAACGGTGGTGGCAATGACTCCCTCCTTCATTCCTTACGTGTCACCCTCGTGCCAATTATCAATTATCGAAAGGCTGTTCCAAAGGGCAATGTTTTGTGCGAGTTCATCAGCTGGATGAGAGGGTTGGGGTTGGAACTGGAGAGCTCCGGGCTGCGCTGAAGGGAATTCCTTCTGGAAAGGGAGATCTAAACATTTACGATGGGCAAGTTGTTGGACAACAGACGAGAGTTAGGGTTTCGTTTTAAGGTGCCCAGTCCACGTTCGCGTTCGCCCAAGTTGGTTCACGAACGTATGGCCCAGAAGCGGGGACTTTCTGCACAACGGCGCCATCGACCTCCTACTCATCAACCACCAAATCTAAACGACACTCTCTAGGCATTCTACCCGCCTCACCCAGTCCACGACCACTCCCTCTCCTAGATGGAACAATCACCTCATCATCATCCGCATCCGCTTCCTCACCCTCACCAGGCACATCTGCAAGCATAAGAAGAGCCTCCCAGATACAATGCTCTATATGTTATTGACTACACTTCAAGCTCAATCAATAATAACGAGGCACGCTCGCACGCAGCAGTCTTTACACGCTGGAGCTGGCTTATCGAGGAGCAGTTCGGTGGGGAGGGGAAGCCCGGTTTTGAAGGGGAGACATGGGGTGATTCATGAATTTGCCCTTGGAGAAGGAGAAGGAGAAAGGGAGGCCGCCGTTGACGTTGGCCGAAAAGTGAGTTGGTCTTTTCGTTTTTCTTCGTTGTTTCGCTCTTTTTTGTCTTTCTTTTTTGGTCGTATTTTTGGATGTGGATCAAGCGTTGACCGTTAATCAGCGTTGAGCGCTCGTTCGTCTGATGGGCCCCTGTCCGGTTTTTCAAGACCATCTTACACGAGTCTATACCCGTTGGTCAAGCCTTCGCGATGTTGGGGAGGGATTGGGCCATCTTTACCCTTCCTCGTATGACGCGACAAGCCACCCGTGAACTATCAAACGACAACCACCAGTCCCAACTCTCTTCCCTCCCCATAACGTCACTCTGAAACGAGTTTCATCGCTTCAAAGCCACACTCTGCATGTCTAGATCCCCTACTATCTTTTCTGGAGGTCCTAGGAGCAAATTGTCCACCGAACAAGCCGGGGCTCTCCTTTCTCTTTACCCCCAAACTCAGCTCTTTAGCCCCCTTGATTAAGAGGCTATCGAGCCAGGTTGTTGTTTAGAGAGTTACCAAAGATCAGACCCGTGCCCTATGCGCTCATCCTGCCCATGATTCGATTGGCATTCGCGGAACACCCCGTTCTTTGGTTTGGTATCGTCTTGCCGATACCAAGACGGGGCCACTATACGCTCTCCTCTCAATGCAGTATATGCTATAGCTTCATCACTGCACCCCCATCATCCCGCTTCCCCTCCTCGCGCTCCTCCTTTTGATCTCTGGTCCCCTATTACACATGCGATTCCTTTATTTTTTGGAGCACGGTGTAGGCCAAGAAACCCCCCTTAAATCAGAGTGTGCCGTGGCAAGTTGTCGTTCAGGCAGTTACCAAGGATAGGACCCGACCCTTGCCATGTTTGGTCTTATCGATACCGAAGCAGGTTCTGTATGCATCCCGTCAGGGCAGTGTACGCGAATCTCTCTCCTAGAAACCTGGTGCTACACCCTTCCCCACTTATCTGGAACTCTTGACCAGTGGCAGCCAAGGCAGATCGTCGTCCAGGGAGTTTATAAAGGTTCGGATCCAGCGTTGATGCGCAGTTTTCAACGCTACTGGAGGGTGCTGGGGCTGGTTGTATGACAAGAGACCATAGACTATGGCTCGATTCCGTCCTAGCACGTCACCAAGACAGCCTGCCGTCGAAGAGATTGCCGAAGATTGGATTTGTCAAGGCGGGCTATGTCCTTTCCACTCAACTATCAGGAGTATGGTTCGTGTATGCGTCTATCACGCCCGTGAACGTGTTGGTGTCCAAGCAGGATCTAGATATGGCCGGTTTTTACCCTCCATGCCTGGGGATGCATTTCCTGAAGCGACTCTTCTACTCAGAGGTTACGAGCAGGTTGAGTCGTGGGTGTAGACTCATGGCCTCCCATTCCGCACGGCCATCACGGTAGAGCTATTCAGAGGCGGACTGTGATCAGGGGAATGGCTGAAGACCAGGTCCTTACACCCCTCAATGGGGCTTTCGCTTCGCCGTTCCCGACCAAGACAACACTTCCTTCACTCCGATATACGGGGCTTTCACCCAGAGGTTATGTGGGCAGGATGTCGGTCAAGCTGTTGCGAGGCTAGATCCATGGCCTGGTCGCTTTCTACATTCTCGTCGAGCTGTCATCGAAAAATTCATCAAACGTCATCGAGTTGAGAGTTGTAGGAAAATCAACATCCCCAACTCGCAGTTCATCATGAATTTTAAATTTTGAATCGGCTCGTCGTTCATCGCCACCATTGGAACAGATAGAGAAAGTACACAAGGGCCACCGCCAACCCCAACAAGTAAGGATATCCCACTCACCCCAGGCCACTGACTGGCAAGTTCCAAAAACTGGGGTGTCCACAACCTGAAGCTGTTCAACCTTGGTTCAATCACACTGTTGAGTATGTACCTTGATAATAATAACTGACTCCGAGTTGATAGGAATGACGTCGCAGTGGGAAACACACCAATGTTCTATTCAAAGCACCCCACTGCTCTCGCGGCAGGACCCTAGTCGGTTTACTCATACTTGAACACGTCAACGAACAAATTCTCGCAGAGATAACTCACTTGTCGTAATTATGCACGCGTACTCACCGGTGCATGTGCATAAATTTCACAATCAGCCAAATTTATTCGTCATGTAGGGAAGTAAAGTTAACCACCCCGACCACGACCCCGTTTTTTTTTCCTTTTTCTTTTTTGGTCGAAGGGGCCGACGGGTCCCTAGAGCCTTTGATGCATTGGATTGACCCATGGTTTTTCGTAATCCGTTATTTAAACTGATTGGGAGTCGCCCACAGTTGCAGAGGTTGCAAGGAGCCAATATTAAACTTGTCCCCATCTGAACCTGACCCGAGTCGATCGTTTATACGACGTTGCTACCATCGTGGATTTGCTTCCGTTATGCAACCTCAATTTTTACTTTTACAACGAGGAGAGACTCTGGGTGTCTCGAGGTTCCTCGGGTTTGTAAGTTAGCTTGCAACTACAGTCCCATGTTTTGAGAAACGGGAAGTGAAACTGTATTGGCATTTGAAGCGGGTTCCAGTACTTCGCGCCGAGTATCCCAGCCTGTTACGGCAAGCCACCCATCGCTTCACAAATTTTTTGTTTTCTCATTTGGTTCACATCTATTCAAATACATTGCTCTCTTTAGCTGGTTCGTGCATGAGTCCGACCCGAAATTCGGCCGCCAACTCTCAAACCAGGCCAGAGCGGCAGGAAAGCACCATTCGTTTTTCCGTTCACTAAAAGCAGTTTCCCAGTCCCACCATATGTACAAATGACTTGAGCAACACAGTAAGAGTTATGGACAATCGTCACGGCGACAAAACGTCCATGATTAGCCAAAGAGTTGACAGTTGCAATTGCCAAAGGGCCAATCCAAGAGAAATCCCAGGCCAAAGACGAAAAAGCGAGTCGGATTAGGAAAACAGAGTCCCAAGTACCGCAAAAAGACCGACCAACAGGGCATTGATAACGAGAACCAACCAGCTACTTGCGCTTCTTCTGGCGAGTCTTGACAGGCCCATCGGAAGCCTTCTTCTGAATAGCTGGGGAAGTCGAAACCGAAACTTCTTCCTGCGGGGACGGCATGACAAGCGCCGTAACGACAGCCGGATTCTGAACTCCTGTGGCCCTCTACATTTCAAAAAAGGGGTGAAAAACAGCGGAGGAATATCGGAGCATAGAAACGTGTATACCAATCTTCGTTTTGTCCTCACAGGCTCCTCGACGGTCACAGTAGCTGGCGGTGATACAGAACGACCACGCTTTCTCATGCACCTCCCTGCTGGCGACAAAGGCTCCAGATCGGTCTTCCTGCGGGGACGGCATGATAAGCGCCGTAACGACAGCCGGATTCTGAACTCCTGTGGCCGTCTACATTTCAAAAAAGGGGTGAAAAACAGCGGAGGAATATCGGAGCATAGAAACGTGTATACCAATCTTCGTTTTGTTCGCCTTCTCTTTTAGCATCTGTGCTAGTGCTGCCTCCAAAGAATGGATTCGACTATGGAGGCCAGTTGCGAGGTGTTCACGCTGGGAGATCGAGGTCAGTAGGTTTCAACACACATATGATGACATTAACTTTTCGAAGCTCATTATCCTTAGCAACGACGTCCTGTTCGTAACTCGTTTGCGTTTGAAGAATAACATGGTTCACCAGGTCCTTTTCTGAGTCGGTCTACGAAAGTCGAAATCAGGTCTGGATGAGTCCACAAGGAGATGACCTTACCAAGTTCCCATCATGGTACCGACTCAAAAGCGTTTCCGCATGCTTCGTCATTTCGCCCATTCTTGCCTCCAGCTCCTCAGCTCGAGCTTTCATGATCTTCATCTGCCCAGACTCCCTCGTCGCCGCAGCCTCGCCATCCTCAGCAATCGCAATCACAGACATCTCCGCCAAACAAAGCCTACCAGCAAGCTCCTCCCTCGCCGCTCTTGCTTCCTTAGCGTCAGTCTCCGCCAGAGTGGCCGCCTTCTCAGCGGCAACAGCGCGTTTTTCTTGCGCCGAGACACGTCGCTCGTTAGCTTTCTCCTGCTTGTTCATCTTTTTCTCAAAGTCCACTTGAGCAGCTGCCAGTGAGGCGGCGGATTCCCGAGCAAGTTGATTGAATGATGCTTTGAGGTTCGCGGCCTCATGCTCAAGCGCGAGTTTCTGCTCATGGGCAACGGCGAATTCCGTCCTGAGGTTGTGAACGATCTCTTGAACGCCCGCCTGAGGTCGAAGTATATCAACAATCACTAAAGTATCATGACAAACGGCAGATTTCACCTCATTCGCAGTGATCTGCTCCTTGGCTAGCGTTAAAGCAGCCGTCTGCTCATCCAATTTAGCCTGCGTTGTTCATGGTAAAGTCAGTAGAGTACGCATGTCGCTAGTGCATTCCATTACCCAGAGTGCATTGTTGATGTCATTCGCTGACACTAGAGCCGTACTTTGTTCATCCAATCGGTCCTGAAAATGCCGATGTCAGTGATGAATATGCACAAGTACACGTTATTGCCGACCTCCAACCGACAATTCGCTTGGCGAAGCCTGGAGATATGGAAAAAAAGGATCAGTTTCAACCATTTCCAACGTCAAAAAAGAGCGACAAACGATTCGACAGTTTTACTCGCTTCCTCGCTGGCCTTCTTGGCTTCCGCTGTGACCCGCTTGATCTCAGCTTGAACTAGTTGGGTCGTCCGGACAGCCAGTGCCTCTCTAGTAGTAAGATCTTGAATCTGTGCTTGTAACTTAGAATTCAGACCCTCCCTAGAGTAACGGTATTAATCAACGGTGAGGGTAAGTATGATCGAAAGGTAGCCCTACCATTCGGCACGAGCGACTTCAAGGTTCTCGACCTTTGTCTTGAGGACATCGCTTTCCTCCTTACGCTCACGAGCCTCGGATTGAGCTAGTGCGAGCCACTCTCTTGTTCTACAAAAACGGCGTTACAAAGGCAAAAAGAGACTAAATGGGTGACGTACACTTTCAACGATGCCTCTGCAGAAACGACCTGCGAGTTCAGGTCCTCGACCTTTTGCACAATCAAGGTATTTCTGCACACATTATCGTTAAATGGCATACGAGAGGGTCTGTCGCCATCACTTACGAATCCCTAGCTCTGAGCTCGTGGTCTTTCTCCGCGACCGCTTTCTTAGCTTCCGCAACCCTGATAGTGCGCGTAAATCCACCAAACATGGAAGACGAGGAAACTCACAGTGCTCTTAACTCAGCCTTCGACTCGCCGAGAGCCTTGGCCTCTGCCTTTAAACCGATAATCTCCTTGTCCTTGGCATTGATGACTTCTTGAGATGCAAGCAACTTGGAAAGACCCCTGTTAAGAAGCCAGTGAGCGCAAGTCAAACCGAAAGGCAGAGGATGCTCACTCCTCCTTGATGACCCTCAGCTCCTGCAGCTCAAGGAGATTTGCTGATGAGAACGTCTTCAGGTTTTGTAATCTGAAAGGATAGTTCACGCGTCCCGTAAGATTCCAACACAAAAGTAGAACCTACTCATGAGTGACAGCAATGAGCTTTGCCTCTACACCAGCTGCTGTGGCAAGGGCGTCAATACTTTCCCGTTCGTGCTTCGCCAGACGGTCCGTCAGGTCTTCTACCTTGGTCCCTTGAGAAAACGAAAACATAAGTGTCCATACAGGAGCAAAGGCAGTTGACAGAAATGCTCACAGACACTGCACAAAACTTCCAAGCCCCGCTTATCTTGCAAGCGGTCACGAAGAACACTCAGCGTCCCGCGCTCCGTATCTTCGAAATCTTTGATCCGTGCTTGCGCATCCGCGAGCTGGGAAGATAGATGGTGGAGCTTGTCTCGGAGGAGATCAGTCACACGCTGGGCTGTAGAGGATCAACGAACGACTCAATGAAGAGGAGGAACGAGCTTACATGACCCCAACTTTCCCTGGAGTTCTTGAATGGTGTCTCTCATTTCAGATGCGCGAGAAAGGCCACCGCCTGCTTCAAGGAGAGGTTTGACACCTAATGGTAGCGGAGACGTCGTCAACATTGCAAAAGACCCCGTTGAAGCAACCTTACTGGCCAAGGCATCCGCTGCAGACCGCTTAATTTCAGTCGCCTCGGCGACAGCTTGTGAAAGCGAAGCTGCCGAAGCCTCATGAGACTTTCCAAGAGCAACAAAGGAAGAATGAAGTGACTCGTAGCTATTGAAGCTAGCATAAGTAAGAAACAACAAGAATTGACTGATAACTTACTTCTCTCGTAGAGTCGCCAGACCTTGCTTTGCCGTGACGAGCCTGTTTTCAGCCACTTCCTTCCCCAACATTTCCTGCTCATAAGAATGCGACATTTGCTCCAGAGAAGTTTTGAGGGACGAAATTTCGGCGACGGCATCCGCAAGATTTGAGCGTGTTAAGGCAAGGTCAGACTTCGCGGTGCTTAGTTCATTCTCCGTTGATTTCAACAGTGGGAGAGCTGCGGCAAGCTCCGACCTAGCAGACGCCAACTACCCTGCTGTAGCGGAAAGTTCTTCACGCGCAGACTTAAAATCCTTTGTCGCCGCACTGCGCATCCGCAATAAATACTCATTTTGTGTTTGCAGCGCGATCGATTCCGCAAAGAGAGCCTCGTATCGGTGGTTCTGTGGAGAAAGTTCAAAAAAACGGAAGCAAGAAGAACCATGAAGGAACGAACATGCTCAAGGAGATCGCTAAACGCTCGCTTTACATCCCTTTTCGCAATGGGAGGAGTTTGTTGTGGTTTGAGAGACGTATCTGGAATCGAATTGAAACCTAATTCATTTTTTGATCGTGGAAAAACGGCTTGAGACCGCGAGCTGGGGCGTGAAGGCGGAGGCGAAGAAGATGTATGCGCTCCAGATAGGGTGGGGAATTGTCGACGACTAGGTTTGTGGTCTATCACGATGTGTCAAACAAGATGGCGTATAAATTGAATAACTTACTGGACTCCCCCGGAATTAAGGTCAAAGATGCGGTTCTGTCGTTTTCCCGGCTATATTCTGGCCAGAATTCTCTTTTTCTGTGTGAAGCGGTAGGTGAAGGACGATTTGGCGGCGGTTTACGCGATGCTGGCTGGATGTATGCGCGGCCTTCATATTTGGGTGAGGCCGGCAACGGTAATGACGCGTCTCTCCTTCCCTCTGTAGTCGTCATCAGACCGATGTCCACGAAAGAAAGAGTGGCAATGCTCACTTTGTGCCTCCCCCTGTCCGACGTCGCGAGCCTGCAGGATATTGACCGGTGCCTTCGATTCTTGGACGTCTGAAAGAAATAGCGGTGCCGATATGTGAGTCTGAGATGAACTCCCGGCCTGCGTTCGTTGTTGCGCTTGAAAAGAAAACACGGATCGTCGCGACGCGTCAGGAATGGCCAAGGCTTCAGCGTTCTTGAACAGAGCGAACTTGAAGGAATTTGCGTTGTGTGTCGAGCTGATTTTCGGGTTCTGTGTAAGTGGCTTACCCTGCGTCATTGAGAACGTCTTCGGCTTGACTTTTGTCGTTGACGTCCGAAGTCTGTGACATTGAGAACTTTGGATTGATACCTCTGAGAGCATTACAATCAAAGCCGTTGTTTCCCATGGAATAGCCAAGAAATGGTTAGAAAAGTCAAGAAAATTGTATTCTGATTGTGGTGGTTGTCGGAAGAGGACAAAGAAACAAAATTTGCCAATGGTTTTTATTATTGCGTACATGAGGTCACTTCATGTATCCTATAGCTACACTCTTCTTCGAGGAATTGGGGGCCGAAACCTTCTCGTTAACGTATAAATTTAAATAAAACAGCCGAGAATACAAAGATGGCAGGGGAACAGAGCTACCCAAACTGCAAAAAAGAAACGGAGTGCAGAGCCCTGTCGCGGCCAGAAGTCCAGAGATGCGGAGGCAAGGCAAGGGGCAGAACGGTATCAGACCAATCGACGCTAAACCCACAGAGGTCGAAGCGGACGCAAGTGAAAGGAAAGGCAAAAGGAAGCATCATTGGACTGATACCCAAAGCTGCCCCTCAAAAAGGTAGGCGGAGAAAGGGAAGGAGCAAAACACGACTGCAAAAACAACAGAGACGGAAGGGAGGAGGAGCAGACCGCCTCCGTGATGTGCTCAAAACGAATCCTCCAAACGAACGAAAGAACGAGGCGCCAAAACAAAACAAGACGAAGACGAATAATCAAAGCAACTAAAAGGAAAGAAAACTTACCAGCCTATTCACCGTCCGATCCTCCGAAAGGACTTGGTCGAACCCTGATATGGGTGCCAAGAAGATAATAGCGTCCACTGCGGAAAAAATACATCAACTTACGCATGAAGAAAGAAAGGGGGACGTACCATCATCAAAAAAGGGCGCCCATGTAGCTAAACGGTACGTGGTTTTGAATTAGGGATATTGAGGAGTGGGTTGAGGATGGGACTTACGACGCTACGGAGTTATGGTAAGGCTTACGAACAAAGGAAGAGAAGAAAGAAACCAACCTGACTCCGACTCCCACCAACATCCACAATCCTCCACTCCGTCCCGCTATCCCTCCCCGCAGTCGCTTCCATCTCAAATCTGTACTCTGATCCGCCGACGGTTTTGAGTCGGGCTTTCAAGACGTCGTCTGGTTGTTCACATGGATTAGCTGCGTCTTCGAGGGGGGGGGGGGAAGGGAAAGGAAGAGAGGGACGTACCATCCGTAGGCATATACTTGAGGGACGTCAAGCGCTCCAAGTCGTCCAAAAAACTACATAAAACATCAGAAATACGTTTCCAGAAAAAGAAAAAAAGAGAAGGAAAACTCACAACCCCGACTCCTCCTCAATCCTAATCTTCCTCCTCCTCAACACCTCCCTAACACCCTCATCATTCCAAAGCGCAATCATATCCCTCCTACACATATTCAACACTTCCTGCGGCTCATCCTGTGTTTCTGATCCCGTGGTACCGGCACTCATCGGTCTTGTCCCATTCCCACCACTACTCCCCTTCCCGTTTTTATTTTGCTTCGCGCCGTCATGATGATCGCCGTACCCATACCCAGACCCAGGATAAGTAACCCTAGCACGCGCCAAACCGCCTTTCCACCCCGTCCCAGGCCTAACGAAAATCTCTTGGTTCCTATACGCGTGGTTCCCCGTCCCACCCGACGTAGAACTCGCCCCGGAAGAGGACCCTGCACTCGTCCCAGCACCAACACCAACACCAGGGGGACCAGGACGAGCGAAATGCGTAGCCTCTTCCTCGTTGGGCGGGACAAGTTTCGCGATGAGGAGAGCCTCGATATGACGCAGGGGTAACAAGCGCGCTTTTAGTGCGTCTAGGGGTGTGTTTTGGGCTAGTGTGAGTGGGGAGGTGGAGCGTGGGCTGCGGTGGTGTATGTGGTGGTGGGGATGAACGAAATCAGACTCGGAGTCTCCGTCCGAGTCTGGGTTGGACGGGGGCGAGTGGTGGTGGTGGTGGTGTCTGACACGCGGGGGTGAGGAAGAGCCAAAGGTTAGTGTTGTGTCGTTCCCGTTGCCGTTGTGTTGCTCGTGTGGGTGGTTTGGTAAAGGCGGGCGGGAGATGGTGCGGGCCCGCGAACGAGGGGACGAGTAGGGTGATGTGTGTGGTGAGGACGTTGAAGTTGAAGGAAAGGTCAAAGCGTCGAGGATGGTGCGTATTGACCTGATGATGTTGAGTTGGATAACGGCGCGCCAGAGGATACGTTCCTCGCGAAAGGCGGTGGGTGTATACAGTCGTTGAAATTCTGCAGGGTGGCGATAAGCTTTTCATATCGACCAAGAAAACAACAGAGGTGGACGTACGTCGTAGAGTTGTTGATTTCCCTAAACACACACTCTCATAAATACAGTGTAGGTCAAAACGACCACAAAGCTCACCAGACTCGCTCTGACCCAACAACAACAGCCTCACAATCCTCTTTTTCCTCCTCGCATGTCGTTCAGCCTTGATGCTAGCATCAATAGCCAAGCTAACTCTCTTTGCCTCTGCCTCATTCTGCAGCCTTACCACACGGTCTTCTGGAGACTCGTCCGGAGGCGGCTTGAGCACCTCGTCGAGTGGGTCGTCAGCGGTGCGCACGGGCATCTCAAGTAAGAGATAAGTATGATAATGATGATGGGGGGATTGAGGGGTTTGGATTATTGACGCCAGCCAGGTACAGCAGTCATATCAATCATCTCTATACATACTTACTCAAAGAGAAGATCCATTTTTGAACTTTATCTTTTACTTTTCCCACTGCAAGCGAACGCGGTCAGGTACCGAGAACTGGTTCACCAGGAACAAAGTCACGCACGTTTTCAATCGAGCTCAGAATCGCGGATATTCGTCGCTTATCTCCTTTGAAGAAGTGCCTGGAGATCCCATCCCCCTCGTCACCCAACCCACCCAAAAACGGTTCATCTTCTCAAGTTCCTCAGCCTACACTGCTTTCTAAATTACACCCTGCTTCTCATTTAAAGGCCCATGTTTCCCCCAACCTTATTTACATTGGCGTACTGACATTGACATGCGACGTCGTGTCGTGTCAAGTGTACCCATAGCTATCACCACCACTCATGCATCATGATCCATCCGTCGGCCTCCTCGGGTTCCCTAGGCCTTTACATTCCTCCTCTAGGCTCTTGTGACTGCTCTCCGCCGACTTTCACCACCCCCTGATCGCTCTCTATATACGTCACCATGATCTAATCTAAGCAGTGACTCACAGGGGCAGGCAACCGCGTCATCTGCGCAGTGCGGGCCAAGCAGCCTCAAGAAAATCGGCAAGTAAACAACCTGGCGCTTTTGGGAAATTGCAAACCTTATCCGGAGCATTCAAAGTCGATAAGAGTCGGTACCCCCCATTTAAAAAAAAAATTAAACCTCACTTCATCTCGAGCATCGAGCTAGCCATAATTTTTAAAAAGGCCCGTGTTATCTATCCACCAACCACGCAGCGCTCTGCCAACACGTGCAAAGCACTTGTCCCGCGACACTTATCTTGCCAAGCAGCTCGCACAGAGTTCAAGAAAATCGGCAAGTAAATAACCTGAACCCAAGGCCGGCGAGCGCTCATTCGGAAACAATCTTATCCGGAGCAAGGTCGACGTCTCCTTACACCCTCATAACTCTTTTTTTTCAATTCAATTGCTCATTTCATCTCAAGCGTAGCCTTCCCAAAGAAACAAAAAAAGATAGCGGTGGCCCTGTTATCTATCCACCAACCACGCAGCGCACGCGTCTACAAAACCTGACCACGCTACACCAGCGTCTGCCCACACGTGCAAAAAGCAAGGCACTGGCGTCTGGCGTTTATCTACCCAAGGCTAGCCAAGGCCCAAGGACGAAGCAAGGCACCCCACCCAAGCTCAAGGCACGTCGACGCGTCAACCGGCGTGACAGTCAACACTCAAGCTTGTCATTCAATATTCAACTGCCATTGCCGGCTCACCTGTTCTCAGTCTCCAAGCAGGCTGTTCGATTCCACTCGAACCAGAAAGCTCAGGTACATTGTGACTCCCGTCGGGACTTGGTCATGAGGCCGAACTTGAAAGTTCAAGGTGACAGCCGTTCAACTGTCAGTTGTTCGACGATATGATTATATTGGCGTCTGACGGGGTGGTGACCGTTGCGTTTTGGACGCTATAGAGTCTCGTGGCCCGGAATGCGCTGACTTGAATTAGTATTGTGAAAGACTTCACGAAACAGTACAACTATGCAAGTCAACAATACCACAAGTCAAAACTCATATCTGAATCCTACATCTGCAGGTCCTCGCCGCGCGTGCTGTATGACGACACGCGTACCACTGGCACTGGCGTCGGAATTTTTTTTCGTGTTGAAAATAATTCTAATCCTACACGGTGTCCGGCAACTATGTAGGTATATTTTTATCTCCGTTGTCGGACAGAGCCCAGCGGGTAAGTTCTTTTGTCTCTTCACGGTCTAACCTTTTTATTCAGGTGCCCGTTGTAAATCAAGTGAATCGGCTCGCCGGCAGGCTCTGCCTTCAAAACAAAGTTTTATCACTACTGCAACACTCACCGCGACACCAACTATATCCCACTCCAATGATCCCACTCACCCCGTCCGGCCACTGACTCGTAAGTTCCAACAAAGAAAAAATCTGGGGTGTCCACAACCTGAGGCTGTTCAATCACACTGGGCCGTTATGTATCTAATAATAATAATAACTGACTGCGAGTTGATAGGAATGATGACGTCGTCGCAGTGGGAAACACACCATGTTCTATTCATAGCATCACTGCTCTCGCGGCAGAACCCTAGTCGTTTTTACTCATACTTCAACACGTCAACGAACAACAGGCTACAAAAAAAAACCAGATGGCCTATGGGTCAAGACTTTAGGGACCCGTCGGCCCCTTTGACCAAAAAAAAAATTGGGGTCGGGGTCGGGGTGGTTTTTACTTTCCCTAAACGACGGATTTCGCTGATTGTGAAACATATACGCATGTACGTGTGAGACGCGTCCATAATTATGACATCCGAGGGGGTCGTCCCCAATTGCAAGTCCCCATCTATAAATAAAATACTGAGCCTGACCAGGGTCGATCGTTTACATGACGTCCATCGTGAATTTGCTTCCGTTTCAAGATATTTTAAGGGGTTGTTCAACGAGGTAGATCCAAATTCATACGACTAGCTTGCAACTACATGTGCAGTCAAGAAACGGGACGTGAAACTGTATTGGCCTTTGAAGCGGGCTCCATTATTTCGCGCCGAGTATCCCAGCCTGTTACGGCAAGCCACCCATCGCTTCACAAGAATTTTGTTTCTCATTTGGTTCCCATCTATCTGAATACAGTGCTCTCTGCACTGGCTCGTGCATGAGTCCGACCCATTCGGCCGCCGACTCTCAAACCAGGCCAGAGCACCAGGAAAGCACCATTCGTTTTTCCGTTCCCAGTCCAACCCATTCATCATCACAGAAGTTTCTTCATCAGATGTGCAAACGACTCGAGAAACACAGTAAGAATTATGTACAATCGTCACGGCGACAAATGTCCATAATTAGCCAAGGAGGAGATATTTACAATTGCCTAAGAGCAAAACCCGAGAGAGATGCCAGAGCATACAGGGAAAAACCAGTCGGATTAGGAAAACAGAGTCCCAAGCAACGCAAAACGATCGAACAACAGGACATTGATAATGAGAACGAACCAGCCACTTGCACTTCTTCTGACAAGTCTTGGCAGGCCCATCAGGGACTTTACTGGGGAAGTCGAAACCGAAACTTCTTCCTGCGGGGACGGGATGATAGGCGTCGTAACGACAGCCGGATTCTGAACTCCCAGAAAAATGGGGTTGAAAAACAGCGGGGGAATATCGGAGCAGAGGAACGTGCATACCAAGCTTCGTTTTGTCCCCACAGGCTCCTCGACGGTCACAGTAGGTGGCGGTGATATAGAACGACCCCCGCTTTCTCATGGACCTCCCTGTTGGTGACGAAAGCTCCAGATCGGACAAGTCGTTCAGATCGTTGTCCCTGTTGTCGTACTCATAGTCCGAATTGGCGTCCTCAAGGGCCTTGAAGCTCTTCTTCTTTTGATTAGTTGCCCTGGGCTGAGGTTTTGAGATGGGTGATGGTGGTTTGATCATTTCTTCCTGTTCAAGTTGTTTGGGACTTGGGGCCGGTAAAGAGAGGTGGGCTGGATCTGGTGATGAGCGCTGCGCCGCTTCAGGATCGTTTGCTTCATTGCATTATCGGCCTATGATGATGATGAGCCAATAAAGATAAAGTCAGAGGAGCGTATACATGGGCACATTACCAAAGCTTGCAATGACTCGTCAATTGGGCTCGAGGGCAGTCACATCCGGAAATTCAACAAAGTCTTCGCGTCAGGCCCAGCACTCTTGGCCCTCTCTTGGAGCATCTGCACCAGTGCTGCGTCCAAAGACTGAATTCTACTATGGAGGCCAGTTGCGAGGCGTTCACACTGGGAGATCAAGGTCAGTGGGTTTTCAAACACACACACGGTAACACTAACTCTTCGAAGCTCGTTCTCCTGAGCGACGAGGTCCTCGTTTGCGTTTGAAGGATAATGTTTGATAATGTTTGCACTTGAAGAATAATGTGATTCACCAGGTCCTTCTGTAAGTCGGTCTACAAAAGTCGAAATCAGGTCTGGATGAGTTCACAAGGAGATGACCTTACCAAGTTCGCATCATGGTACCGACTCAAAAGCGTTTCCGCATGCTTCATCATTTCGCCCACCCTTGCCTCCAACTCCTCAGCTCAGGCTTTCATGACCTTCATCTGCCCAGACTCCCTCGTCGCCGCAGCCTTGCCATCCTCAGCAATCACAATCACAGACATCTCTGCCAAAGCAAGCCTACCAGCAAGCTCCTCCCTCGCCACTCTTGCTTCTTTAGCGTCATTCTCCGCCAGAGTGGCCACCTTCTCAGCGGCAACAGTGCGTTTCTCCTGCGCCGAGACAAGGTGCTCGTTAGCCTTCTCCTGCTGGTTCATCCTTTTCTCAAAGTCCACTTGAGCAGATGCCAGTGAGGCAGCGGATTCCCGAGTAAGTTGATTGAATGAGGCTTTGAGGTTGGCGGTCTCACGCTCAAGCGCGAGTTTCTGCTCATGGACAACAGCGAGTTCCGTCCTAAGGTTGTGAACAATCTCTTGAACGCCTGCCTGACGTCGAAGTATATCAATAATCATTGAAATATCATGACAAATGGTGGACTCACCTCATTCGCAGTGCTCTGGTCCTTCACTAGCGATAAAGCAGCCGTCTGCTCATCCAATTTATTCTGCGTTGTTCATAGTAACGTCAGTAGAGTACGCATGTCGCTAGTGAATTCCATCACTTGGAGTGCGTTGTTGATGTCATTTCCTGCCACTATCGCCGCATCTTGCTCATCCAACCACTTCTGATAATAATGTCAGTGACGAATATGCACAAGGACAAGTTATTGCCGACCTCCAACCGACGATTCGCTTGGCGAAACCTGAAGATAAGAAAAAAATCAGTTCCAACCATTGCCAACGTCAAAGAAGAGCAACAAATGATTCGATAGTTTTACTCGCTTCCTCACTGGCCTTCTTGGCTTCCGCTGTGACCCGCTTGATCTCAGCTTGAACCAGTTGGGTCGTCCGTACAGCCAGGCCTTCTTTTGTGCTAAGCTCGTGAATCTGTGTTTGTAACTTAGAATTCAGGCCCTCCCTAGCGTAACGGTATTCATCAATGGTGAGGATAAAACACGATCAAAAGGTGGAGGTACCATTTGGTCCAAGCGACTTCAAGGCTCTCGACCTTTGTCTTCAGAATGTCGCTTTCCTCTTTACGCTCACGAGCCTCGGATTCAGCCAGTGCGAGCCACTCTCTTGTTCTACAAAAACGGCGTTACAAAGGCAAGAAGAGACTAAATGGGTGACGTACACTTTCAACGATGCCTCTGCAGAATCGACCTGCGAATTCAGGTCCTCGACTTTTTGCTCAAACAAGATATTTCTGCACAGATTATCGTCAAAGGCACATGAGAGGGTATCTTGCCATCACTTACGAATCCCTAGCTCTGAGCTCGCGGTCTTTCTCTGCAACCGCTTTCTTAGCTTCCGCAACCCTGGTAGTGTGTGTTGCGTAAGTCCACCAAACACGGAAAAAAGAGGAAACTAACAATGCTCTCAACTCAGCCTTCGATTCGCCGAGAGCCTTGACCTCTGCCTTCAAACTGATAATTTCCTTGTCCTTGGCGTTGATGACTTCTTGAGACGCGAGCAACTTCGAAAGGCCCCTGTTCAAAAGCCCGTAAGTGGACGTGAATCCAAAAAGTAGGTGAGTACACTCACTCCTGACCCTCAGCTCCTGCAGCTCAAGGAGATTTGTTGATGAGAAGGTTTTCAGGTTCTGCAGTCTAAAAGGGATAGTACACGTCCGGTAAGATTCCAACACAAAGTTAGAACCTACTCATGGGTGACAGCATGAGCTTTGCCTCTACACCAGCTGCTTCAGCAAGGGAATCGATACTTTCCCGTTCGTGCTTCGCCAGACGGTCCGTCAGGTCTTCTACCTTGCTCCCTTGAGAAAACGGAAACATA